TCCCGCCTCCCCTCTGCCCGAGCAGCCTGTTCCCGGGCTGCATCGAGGGAGGACGTAGATTAAAGGTGGACAAGAAGCAAATAGCCGCAGTCCTTGGCAGTGCCCCCCCCCCCGCGACACGCCTGGGCAGAGCCTAGGCCACACTCCATCCCCCACGAGGCCAGGGCTGTTAAGTTGTAACCAAGACCCCTGGGGAGAGGTGGGCTCACTCTTGATGCTGAGTGAGGCTCCTGCAGCAGGAAGGGGTACGTGGGCACCAGTACTTACTAGTGTTAGAAACCCATTCAGAATCCTTACTTTGACCGAAACACACAAACAGCACAGCTTTAACCTCCCTGTTTTCTGTCCTTAAGTGCATGAGCATCTCTGCAATTTTAAAGACACTCCTTCCTTATAAGGCACTTTGGCTCCTCATGTATCTCATCACGTTTACTTATCTGGTTTCAAAAACAGCGGCATGAACTCAGGGGACTCGCTTGGCGTGTGGGCCCCACCTTTCATTTGGCAGAAAGGCAGCACAGACACCTCCAGATGACTCAGCTGATGCTGTGTGTTACCAGGGCTCCCCGGGCCAGGGACACTGTGGGCCCCTGTGGCTTTCCTGACGGGCATGTCAAAGATGTGTCATTTCTCCTTTATCCAAAAAAATGCTTCCTGGACACCTGCTCTGTGCAAGGCATTGTTAAACGTTGAGAAATAACTGCTCTCCGTTTACTTGGGGTTTATTCTTATTCTCTCATAGCTTATATTTTTGTGTTTTGACTTAAATCTGTTAACCATTGATTTCTATGTTCTGTTCTCAAAATTCCGTCGTCCCTAATGCCATTTCAAACTGTCTTTTCCAAAGGGGTTTGAGCATAAACAGCTATGAAATTCAAGCAAGCCAACTCATAATCCCAGCTGAGATTTAGTCAGTACTTTTGCTTTTCAAGTTCGGGAAGATTGGTTGGCTTTACGAGTCAAACATATAAGCTTTGAGACCCTTGTTGAATTCTGGACCGGAGAGCAACTTGCTCTCAGTGTGAATTCCTTCCATGCAGTCGTGCAGTGGCACCAACAGAGCGTGAGTCAGAGGTGGCATCGGCCCCTGGCTGGAGTGCTGCCACGCCACGCGACGCGACGCGACGCGACGCGGTTCTCAAGGAGCCACTAAACCTTTCCGTGCCTAGACCTCCCCATCTGTAGGATGGGGTCAATACCACCTACCTCGCAGGGGTCTTGTGAAGACTTAGAAGAACAATGTCAAACGTTTTTAATACTTTGGTGACAGAGATGACATAAACGAAACCAATATTGCATGAATTACACAAAAATGGACATTGGATTCACTGTACCACATACCGGAAATGTGTGTTCAAAAAAGCATTTTACCAACTCAAAATATTAACTTATTTCTAGATTTCAAGGCCTACGTAGTTTTTTTCATCATTACGTGTACCAAAGAGGTTCACAGGTTCATCGGTGGCAGGTGTGACATTTGCTGGTTGGAGGGCCGGACAGATTTCAGCCTCGGCCTCCTGAGGTCTCGCAGGCAGACAACCCAGGCAGCAGCCAGAGTCTCACGGCAGGTTCTTCTGGCGGGAACGCTGCCCAGCGGGACATCAACGTGCACTTGCTGGGTTCGGGGACTTGAATCAGTGCTAAACTTGTGCAGCAGGCCACTCCTAGCGGAGTAAACTCCACTTAATAGGGCTGCAAAACTGAGGAGGGTGTAGCTGGGGCTCTGGCGGCCACCCCCAGCTCTTTGAGGGAAAGTCCTTTCTCGCTGCATCTAGCAGGTTAGGACCCAGCTTTCATTACCACTGGGGGTCGTGAAGATGTCTCTTTAGCAGATGGAGAGGAGCTGGTGACGACCTTGGCTTTGCGGACAGTAAGGCTGGAGGTGTTGGCCTCTTGACGGTCTGTCCTTTTCCTCCGCCGGCCTGCCAGGCCTGGAGCTCAGGAGGCAGGCCCTGGTGTCAGCAGGGAGACACTGCTGTCACACCACCTGGGCTGGACGTGACATTCTGCTCTGCTTGAAAGAGCAGTTCCACAAGCAAGTTCCCACCCTGATTCGTAACCCAGGGCGGAAGTCCGCAATTACTTGGGGATCAAAGATGAACTACTTAGGGGCAGGATTTGGCAAGTGATTGACTTTCATCTAGCACTGAGATCTAAAGGTTATTTTTAACTTTATAAATTCAGCAGTTGACAGCGCACAAGGAAGAGAATCAGGTTAATGGGGTACAGGCTTTTTGGGTATTCCCGAAAGCTTATTTTGGGTAAAGGCCACATCACCGGTTCCCTCAAATTAAGAAGCCGTCAGGAGATTTCTTTTTCCATTGCAGGTTTCAAAGCGGAGACTCTGAAATGGAAAATAGGCACCGCACAGAACAAAGCTATTTGGAAGCAGTGCACAATGAAACATTTCACGAGGGTTTGCAGGCTGGGGCCGACGATGGCAGTTTACTGGAACGGGGCTGTAGGTGAGCCTGGCCGAGGGCAGGAGGCAGCGCACCCTGCCGGCCCTTCGTTGTCCTAAACTGCTGCGTAAGCCTACAAAGCGAACTTTATTAATCCCTTCCACTTATTTAACACTCTGGGTGATTAACATGATGGGGGGACATCGCTAAACCAACCGGTTGTGTTGACAGGTGAGGTTCCGTAGGGTCTCGACTGCAGCTCCGTTTGGTCGCAGCCCCTCTGTGACAGGAACAGTGAACCACTGCCCCTTCTCTGCACTCTTACTGCCTTAGATAGTTGTGCTCTCCCTCTGTGTTTTGCTTCTGCAGTGCCTTGGTGAGGCCGGGTGACCCCAGCCTGTCTGGCATGGTGCGAGAGGCTTGCTGTCTGTGCCCCGCTGTGGAGGCCTGACGCCCTGTCCTGGGCTCGGTCCCAAGCGCTTGTCCCTGCGGGACTGTCCCGTGGCTTAAGCTAGAAGAGTAACCTAATGGGGTAATTACTCTTCTTTTTACGTGCAGAAATGTTTATTTAAATATTGGATTTTCTTTCACAGAAATTATTTCCAATTCTTAAATAAAACTGTACTTGATTTCACTGTGAACAATAGTGGCTATTGTAAATAGTGCTGCAATGAACACTGTGGTACATGACTCTTTTTGTGTTTTTGTTTTTGTTTTGTTTTTGCAGTACACGGGCTTCTCACTGTCGTGACCTCTCCTGCTGTGGAGCACAGGCTCCGGACGCGCAGGCTCAGCGGCCGTGGCTCACGGGCCCAGCTGCTCTGCGGCATGTGGGATCCTCCAGGACCGGGGCATGAACCCGCGCCCCCTGCATCAGCAGGCGGACCCCCAACCACTGCGCTACCAGGGAAGCCCCCCCCCCGCTTTTGTAAAAAAACAAATATTTATTTATTTGGCTGTGCCGGGTCTTAGTTGCGGCATCCGGGATCTAGTTCCTTGACCAGGGATCGAACCCGGGCCCCCTGCATTGGGAGTGCAGAGTCTTGACTACTGGACCACCAGGGAAGCCCCCAGAAACTCTTTAGGTCTTTTTGCTTCTGGCTAAGAAATGTCCAAAACCTACAGCGTAAAACCAGGTGTGTTTTGCCTCCTCGATTCTGTTCTGAAGTCCTACCTCTAACCAGTTTGTAATGACAAGTTCCCCCAGCCCCCCAGGCTACTGTGGAGGTTTGTGATGCTTTGGGATGGGAACGTCGGTGCTCTTGGCAGAGCAGGTGTGGAGGTGTTGGGTATTGACGTGGCGGGTGGCTCAGCGTATTGACCTGCAGGCCTACCTGGCACATAGAAGCCACTCGCTGTTTGAACCACTGAATCAAGCTGATGTTTGCTTAAAGCATGATTCTTTGGGCATCATTTTGCCTCCACAACTTTACATTTTAGGTCACGCGGGTTAATTTTCTTTTTTAAGCATTTTGTTTAAGTTCCGCTTGATGAAATGGGTACTGGGTAGGAGTGGAAAACCACTAGAGCGAAGTTGCTGGTGAATCGTGCTTTAATATCAATAGAAGGTGAACACAGGAGAGTGACAGCAGGAGGGGACAGTGATGGGGAAGTCGCGACGGAGGCCATCTCCTGCCATGCAGGCCACCAGGTGCTACTGCGTTGCTTTATGCGCTCAGCCCTGGCCCTACAGTGAGAAAAGCTGGAGCAAAGGGTTTTTTCCTCTATGCCGAGTCAGCGCTCAGATTAGCGGGTGGAGCTTTCCAGCGGCGCCCTGTTACCAGTGGGGCTGTGCTTCAGGCGGAGCTGGATTCCTCTGTGGTAGGGCAGGTGCTGCACAGTGGGCGAGTCTCATCACCCGAAATTCAGACGGGTGCACACCCCACCCCAACGGGCGCTCACGGGACTGGCACACAGACGCCAGGGAGGGGCAGGGGCAGTGAGGGGCTTCAGGCTGGACGTTCACTCATGTAACGTTTTCCACGCCGACTGGGATGCCGTCCCGAGTCACCTTGATGAGGACCAAGATTCGAGGCAACACGAAGTCTAGCTCAAGCCAAAGAGCCTGAAATTGGGACCTGGCAGAGTGTCTGGGTTTTACTGCTGATGCACGATTATTACACATTAAACAGAAAATCATGATGGGAACCGCCTTTTCTGAAATATCCCAGCCTTGATGCGCATGTTGTAAAACGCCCGACCTCCGGGAGCAGTCCCATGCTAAGCTGGGCGCTCTCTCCATGTGGGGACGTCACCCCCGTTTTTCAGTTTGGGTCTGTGAGAATCTTTATTTTTCAGTGGAGGCTCTTCTGCGAGGCTGCTCAGGGTCCGGCTGTTTCTCGGCTCTGAGGTCTTCTCTCTCCTCTCCGAGACACTCACTGGATCGTTCCTAAAGAAACGCTTAATGTGAGCTCCTCTCTGCTCCCCTGTCTCACTGTGTCCCAGCGCTAAAATCCACCCAGGCAGAGGCTTTCAGAACGGCCAGCCTTCCGGGAAGGCACCAGCGGGTGATAGAACCTTAACTGCATCATCTCCTAAAGGATTCTTTTTTTTTTTTTTTTTTTTTTTTTTAATAAATTTATTTTATTTATCTTATTTCTGGCTGCACTCGGTCTTCTTGCTGTGCATGGGCTTTCTCCAGTTGCGGCGAGCAGGGGCTACGGGCTTCTCATTGCGGTGGCTTCTCTTGTTGTGGAGCACGGGCTCTTGGCGTAGCGGGCTTCAGTAATTGTGGCTCACGGGCTCTAGAGCGCAGGCTCAGTAGTTGTGGCGCATGGGCTTAGTTGCTCGCTCGAACCCGTGTCCCCTGCATTGGCAGGCAGATTCTTAACCACTGCGCCACTAGGGAAGCCCCTCCTAAAGGATTCTTATTCATGTCTGATGACTTTTAGTTGCCAAAACATCAGCAGTGCAGACCATTTCAGTGGCTTGTGGTGACCCTGCTCTTTGAATTGACCCTCCCCTGAAGCATGGTGCTTGGGAGGGTAGGGCTGCTTTCTGCTCTGTCACCAACCCCGTGGTGGCTCTAGATGCAGCAGACCTCTCCCCGCCCCCAGGCCCTTTTAGCTCTGACTTCCTACAACTCCAGAGAAATACAAAAAGCTCAGCCTGTGATAGTGACACATCTGTTGTTGCACATTCTTTTCTCCCTCTGGCAATTATTTTGGCAAACACTGTGGCTCCAGCGAGTAGCAGTGCTCTCTCACAGGAAGAAATAACCCTCCATCCCTTTTCCTCGAATCACAGTGGTGTAGGAGCCTGCGCTCTCAGAGGTGTGGGTTGGGCAGACGGCAACCACAGCCATCCCTAGTTATAAACCTCACGTCATGTCTATCAAGGTCACATCTGTCATCTACGAGGTCATCTGTTTGAAGGGACCGCCCAGTTTAAGAACCCCTCTGACCCTGTATTTTACACACTGAGGCCCAGCTGAGGCCCTGGAGCTGGTCAGTGGCAAGTTGGGACCAAAAGAAAACCGGAGGTCAGTCTTTGTCGCCTGTATTTGTCTCTGAGATTAAATCGTTTGCCCGCTCAGGTTGGAAAGACTCACTTTACCTGGCCTGGGCTTCGCCATTCACGCCATCATCATGCGTGTTTTGTAGATAGTCTGACGGTTCATCCACAGGGGCCTGAAACCTGCGTGAGAGAAAGCAGTTCCCAGGAATCTGGATGCAGCAGAGCCAGCCCGCTGCGTGTGCTTAGGCTCACTGCACAAACACCAAACTTGAGCAAACACTTTGGGCCTCAAATATTGACCGAGGGCCAGGGCCACGGCAGTGGACAAGAGAGGCTGGGCCCTGCTCTCATGGGAGACCCCTTCTGCGGGGGGAGACACGCCAAGGTTGGGAAGGAGGCCCAGCGGGACGGATGGTGGGGAGTGACAGTGAGGGAGACCTGCTTTCACCAGAGTGGTTTGCGAAGGCCTCCCTGCTGACGTTCAAGCTGAGACCTGGGTGATGAGGTCCACGGAACAAGACGAAGCAAGAACATTCCAGGCAGAGGCAGGGAAGTGGCAGCCAGTCTAGCTTGTTTGAGGGACTGAAAGGCCATTGTGCCTGGGGTGTGGGGAGGGGCCGACGTGGTCAGAGGTGGGCAGAGAGGGTCCCAAAAGGACTTTCAGGCCCCAGCATGATAGGCTTTAGAAAGACCACTGACTGTGGCATGCTGGAGGGGCCAGGGTGCGGGGCTTGACAACGGCGGCTTGGATTGAGGGTCACAGTGGAGACAAAGCAGGCGGACCAAGAGAGTTGAGTCAACAGGACTTGAGGATGGGTTGGCAATAGGGGTGAAGGAAAGAAAGGAATCCAGGTCTCCTGGGCTTTTTACTTGAGCACCTGGGTAACTGTGACGCCTTCACTGAGATGAAACAGGGGTAGCATGTTCGGGGGGGGGAGGAAACCAAGTTCGGGGCCATTGTGGGGTTTGAGGTGCCCTGAGACCACCAAGAGGGGACTCTCCCAGGAAGGGGCACTTGGAGATGAGTCTAGAGCTTGGGCATATTTGTGCTGGGGAGGGGGATTGGGGGTCATCTGCAATACCATGGGGTTTTAAAGCCAGGAGACTGGATGAAGCCCCTTAAGGAGAGGGCATAGGATGAGGAGAATGCCTGGGACTGAGCCCTGGGGAAAACGGACATTTGGGCCTTGAGCCAAGGGGGCAGAGCCCAAAGCCAAAGAGACTAAGAAGGAACAGCTGGGGGACTTCCCTGGTGGCCCAGTGGTTACGACTCTGCGCTCCCAAAGTAGGGGGCCCGGGTTTGATCCCTGGTCAGGGAACTAGATCCCACATGCATGCTGCAACTAAGAGTTCGTATGCCACGGCTAAGCAGCTGGCGAGCCGCAACTAAGACCTGGTGCAACCAAATAAATAAATAAAGATAAATTTTTTAAAAAGGTTCTCCTTCCCTTTAAAAAAAACAAAAGAAGAAGGAACAGCTGGAGGGGCAGGAGGAAAACCAAACCGGGAGTGTGGGGTGTCTCAGAAGCAAAAGAAGAGTGTGGTGAAGGTGACAGTCCAGGCTCACGAGGCCAAGGGATGTAGCCGACAGGTTGCTGATGGTGGGAGCAGGAGCAGATTTGGTGGGTGGGGTTGGTGTGAGCTGCCAGCAGTGGGAGGGGAGGAAGCAGAGGGCAGCTCCAGATACCTGGAAAGTGGTGCCGTGAAGAAAGGTAGAGGCAGCCTCCCTGCTTTGCCCCAAACCTCCAGGAGCTGGGCTTCTGCCGGAGCTTTCCATTTGCTGATACCAAGCACGGATGCCACTTTCCCACAGAGATGTGACCCTGCCGGGGTGTTGCCCCTTGCAGGCAGGCAGGTGCACCCTACTTGAAGCCAGCTGCTCACCGAGGCAGAGCACACAGAAGGGAAAGGACGCCAGCGGTAAGACCACGGCTTAGAACGGGCACACAGCGTGAACAGGCTGGGTAGGCGGCACCAGGATGTCACCTCCACGCAGAGGCCCCCCAGGATAATCCCAGTCTCAACTGCTAACACCAGAGGTTAGTTCTGCCTGGTTTTGAGGTTTTATAAATGGAATCACACAGTATCTGGAGTAAACTGCTTAGTAAATGTCAGCTTAGGAGGACACTGTAACTAGTCCTGGCTGGACAGGGATTTGATCGAAATTGCGCAAAAGGTGTGATGAGTGCAACCTCTCAGTGTGACATGTTAAAATAGTCACTTTAAAGGTGGCTTGGCAGTTCTGGATTAATACAGCAATTGCGCGCGCGCGCGCGCACACACACACACAGACACACACAGACACAGACACACACACACAGACACACACACACACACACACACACACAGACACACACACATTTTTCCTTCTTCCCCAAACTCATTAAAACTAATAAAGGGACCAAAACAATGAGGGGGAAAAAAACCTCTCCAGGTTGACAGCAGGAAAGGATAACAGCAAAATTTTGGAACTGGAGAGCATGTAGACAATGGTCACTAATTCAGCAGACCTGAGCGGCGGAGGCCCGACCAGTTCCCACCACAGAATCCTCAGGGGGCCCAGGAACGGGTAGCCCCAATGCCTCTGCAAGTAGGAGGGTGGGACTGAAATAGGACGATGAGGTCAAGATCCCTACCTCAGAACCGCTGCCCCCACCCCCAATACTGAAGGGTTAGTCTCTGGGAGGGTGCGACACACCGTGAGAACTACTGAAAGACAGAAAATCAGCTGTGCATACAGATACTCCATTCGGTGACATTCCAGGAAGGAGACTGGGCAAAGGTCTAAAACTGACATTGGGGCATCAAGAGTAAGATAAAGCAAAACAAAAAACGCTACCCACCCAGATCCCTTACACCGAAGCACCGCCCGTGTGCTCAGAGCTTCCAGCCTGCCCTCCTCCACCCCAACTCCTAACATGAACGGGTGATCAGAGTTCCTGACAGCTGAGAAAAGCCTTTAACAGGGAAGGTAGAAACCTAAATAAACAAAAAGTAACTTGGAGGAAACAGACTTCAGAGAGAAGGAAACTTAAAAAAACAAAAGCAAAAAAACATCTATCGGCCCCCAAAGGGGTGAGATATTCTGTCCATGAAACAACAGAATGCTGTGTAACAAGAGCAGTCAGGGTACCACAAACACCTCTTTGGAAATGAAAAACAATTTAAAACATTTAAAAGAGCTCTTGGAAATTTTCTTCAAAAATGAAGAACTAAATAGAAGAGTCAGAAGATAAGAGAGGAAATCTCCCAGAAAGTGTAGCAAAAAGATGAAGAGGCGGAAAACAAGACTGAAAAGAGATGGTAAATCAGAGGGCCAGCCCCGGAAGGCCAATACCCAATAAGAATTCCAGAAAGAGAAAAAGTGGAGAAAATCAACTAACCAGTTCAAGAAGAAATATGCCCAAACAAGGACATGAATTTCCAGATTGTAAGGACCCACCGGTACCCAATGGATGGAACTCGACCCTCACCAATGGGAAATTTCAGAACACTGGGAGCAGAGAAGATTCCACAAGCTTCGGAAGAGAGAATAAGTGGGGACTTCCCCAGTGGTCCAGTGGGTAATACGCTGTGCTCCCAATGCAGGGGGCCCAGGTTCGATCCCTGGTTGGGGAACTAGATCCCGCATGCGTGCTGCAACTAAGAAGTCCGCATGCTGCAACTAAAGATCCCGCATGCCGCAGCTAAAGATCCCACGTGCCGCAACTAAGCCCCGGCACAGCCGAAATAAATAAATGAATAAATATTAAAATAAATAAATAAATAAGGAGAATAAGTGGGTCACATTATAAGGATTAGGAATCAGAATGCCTTCAAACTTCTCAAAGATAGCCTTGGAAGCTAGAAGACAATAGAGTGATGCCTTCAAAGGAGAATCATTTCCAATTTAGAATTTCCATCTAGAATTCAATACCCAGCAAAACTATCAGTCAAGTGCAAAGGCAGAATAAAGATATTGCAGCCTTACGCTGTTCAAAACATGTCCCTTCTCTGTTCCCTTTCTCAAGGAGCTGCTTGCGGGATGGGCTTCACCAAACCATGAAAGAGGACATGTGTCATATGGGAATCAGGAGATCTCACTTTGGAATGAGGCCAATGGAGTCCCCTGGAGGGTGGTGGAGGGAGAGGCTAGGTTGACCACTGTGTACCAGCCCTACAGGGCAACCACCCTGGGGCTCAGACTTGAGAGGCAGGCACATTGAGGACCTGCCACCAAAAATCTTCTGCCACTGTTAACACCTCCAGTGCTCAAGTATGGTGCTGAGAGCATGGTCCAGGTTCCTATCTAGACTTGTCTTAACCGTGTGCTGGGGAAGTTCTCTTTGCTCTGTGTCCTGCTGTCTGGATCAGCTGAGGACCCTCATTACACCCCCAAGGTGTAAAGAGATGGGCAATTGTGTGCCTAAAAGCAGAAACTCAGAGCAGCCTGCTCATTCTGTGTTTTGGCAGATGTCCAGCACCTGGTCCTCCCAGATGCCCTGATTAAACCTTCATGACCTGGCCCACTGACTTCCCTGAAAGGGGCTCTTCCAGAGGTGTGGCACCTTTCCTACGCACATTCTGAAGTGTCTTGGTTCCCCCGGAACACTCCCTGGTCTCACCTGGGCTCTAGCCGCTCCTTCACCTTGGCAATGGAGCGCACGTAGGGCGTGATCTGCTTGGTGATGGTGGTCAGGTAGGCATTCTCCTGCTTCAGCTGGAGAAGGTCATGGAGCTGGGCTGTGGGGTCCCAGGCCAGAGCGTTAGGTCTTGTTGGCTTCAAATTCTTGCTCTCCAGCCTTGAACCATCTAAATAACCCAACTATTTCAGTGATTACCCCTAATTAAAGAGTGAGGTAGGACTTGTGAAGGCATCCTACTTACTGAATCCTGATCTCAGATATATCATTTGGGGGCCAGTTAGCAGCTGTGAGGCAAAGTCAAGAACTAGAGGGAAGAGCACGGGGGTTCGTATCTGGTTAGTGGGTAACTGGCTTCCTGCCCCTGAAAGCATGTGGATTAGCTCTAGGACAGGGGTGCGCCCAGCAGCTGCCCGGGACCTTCATAAATCTCCTGCTCGTTAGCCACGCGCTGGTAGGATTCCTCCCAAATCTGAAAGAGAAAGTAAGTTGGATATTGCACGTGGCCGTGAGTTGGAATTTCCCTTGGCAGCATTTCTGTCCTCTAGCTACTCAGAGCCATAGGGCACACTCCCAGCCAGTTCACGTGGTTCCAGGCAGCAAAGGCCCAGGTTCCAGAGCCTGCCACAGGAGGGCCTCCTGGGGCACCAGGCCAAGGTCCTCCTCCCGCTTCCTGTCTTGGGGTAGCTCATGTACATGCTGACAGGTGGGGCTGCAGGGGAGGGAGGTTCCTCGGGAACCCCCTGGGCTACCTCCTGGAAGGGCTACCTCCTGGAAGACTGCTCTCATGCCCTCCACGGAAGCATACTCCAAGGCGATCTGTGTGTCCACCTGCAGGGACTTGTGCAGGATATCACCCATGATCTCGGCCTTGATGAGCGAGTGGTGCTTGGTGAGGTCCCGGTGCAGCTCCTGTACCTGGTCCTTCAGGTTCTGCATCTCTGCCTGCAGGCGCTGGGGGGAGAGACCGCGTGAGTGCCTGTGTTTCCTGCAGGCTGGGTGCACTGCGGGGGCGTCAGTGGAGGGACGGCTTGCTGGCCAGGTGGCCAGGACTAGATTTGGCCACTGCACCTTGGCGAGAAGGGGTGGGGCCTTTCCCAGCTGGCAGGTCCCTGGCCCCCTCACCCGGTAGGAGTTCTCAAAGTGGCGGCAGTGTTCCGTGAAGGGTGAATCGTCGCCCTCTGCCAGCAGCACCTTGGTGCTGATGGACCGGTGCAGCGTGGGCTTTTGGACCGGTGACCCCAACATCTTTCCCACGGGGGAGGGGCAGCTGGGCCCCACCAGCACCTTGGGGCCCGAGCCCCCTGCTAGCCTGGGGAGAGAACTAGTGTGGATGTAGACGTGGGGGTTCCAGAGGGTCTTCCCTTCCCCCAGCCTCCCAGCGCATTCTCAGCCTTCTCAGCCCTCTCACCCCAGGCTGCACACCACAACCACGCAGGAGCTCTGAAAAACCCTGATGCAAGGCTGTGTACACCCAAGACCAATGACATCAGCAGGGTATTTTTTAAAATCCTGAGGGTGATGCCAATGTGCAGAAGAGTCCACCAGGATGTCCTCAGACAGTGTGTTCACTCACACACACTCGACCTTGCAAATTTGGTTTGATGCCCAGTATCCCTTGCCTGGGGCCCTGGAGCTCTTAGCAGACAAATCCAGCTTAGGCATTTCTCCTAACTCCCCCAGGGGTCTCCAGCTCTCTAGACTGGGCCCCCCCCCCGCCCCCGCGGAAGTCAGACCCCCTGCGGCTTCTGGAGACCCAGGCCCCACCCTAAGCTACCCCTTCCTTTCAGGGCTTAGACACCCCAGTCCGGGTGCAGCGGCGGCGGTTGGGGGAGCCCCTGAGTCCCTCTGTCCACCCCTGGCCTGGCTCCACTCCAGGTCAGCCACGGGCTTCCGATCCAGGGCGGCCCCGACGGCTGTTTCCAGGCTGGGCGGACTCTCCCTCCCGCGTGGACGTCTTTGGAGCCCAGACGCGGCGCGGGGAGCTCGGCGAGCTGGGAAGGGCGGCCCCCACCCCCAACGGGGACCTTGTGTCCGCATCCCCTTCCCGGTCCCGGCGCCCCTGCGGCTCACGTGCTGGTACCGCCCCCGGCCCCCGCCGCCCGGCGCGGTCCCAGCAGCAGCAGCGGCTCCAGGCAGCGCGCGAACTCGGCGCGGTGGTCGCTGGCGATCTGGGGGAACGGACGAGCTCGTGAGGCAGCTTCAAACTCCGCGGGCCTCCGCCCCCGGCCCGGCCCACCCCGCGGCCCCGCCCACCTTGCTGCTCTGTGCAGGCCGTAGGCGATGTGGCCGCGTGACGATGCCCTGCAGCCTCTCCACCAGCTCCTGCGCTCAGGTGGGTGGGGGCGTGGGGGTGACAGGGAGGCGGGAGGACCGGAGGACGCGTCCGTCTTTAGGATTTCACCTGCCATCCAATCCTTCCACACCACCCCTGCCCCCAAATCCACAGGGAAGACTGGGGTGGGGGGGTCTGGACTCCAGTAGACACTCTGCACTTTGGGGGAGGAGGCTTATGCTCCCTTCTAGGCTTTGCTGTCCTCTTATTTTTTTATTAATTTTTGGCCGCGCTTTGCGTGGCTTGCGGGATCTTAGTTCCCCGACCACCAGGGATTGAACGGGGTGGAGTCCTAACCGTTGGACCGCCAGGGAATTCCCTGCTGTCCTCTTAAAAGGGGTTCAGTTAGCCCCTAAATGTTTTGTAGATGACGGTGTGGAAGAGGGGGCTACCCAAAGACCCCCTGGTCCAACCTCCAGGTAACAGGCTGCCCAGCCCTGAGGTGGGGGGCTCTGGTG